GATGTTACTTCGTTCTTCTGTGGGAATTTTCTATAAAAATGCTGTTATTAATTTAAATTTCGCTTTAAATAAAATTTATTGAGGATCCGATTTTCTAACGTATGTAATAATAATAATAAAAAAAAAAATCTTGTAATAAAGTCAACATTGTTCTCCATAATTTAGGAATCAGAATAACATTTGCGTGACAATTTATTAATTAATAAGATGGTTTGGTTTAATTTAATTTAATTTTCCTGTAAGTAATGGTGTGAACTTAAGGGTGTGTTTGGTTTAAAGAATGTTATATTAATAGAAAGATAGAATACTTTGAAGATTATTAGAAATGTTTAGGGAAATATATTTGATTGATCGGAATAAATTGGTGAGTATATGATATTAATATGTTTGGTTGAGAGGAATAAATTGGTGGGTATGTGATAAGAGCTTGAAAATACATATTTAGTTAGTAGTTTATGAGGATTAATTGTAGGAAATTAGGTTTAATTTGGTAAAGTTGCTTAATATTTTCATAATTATCTTTTATGGGATCACTGGTGTTTTTGAGTGTTTTCCAGGCTACTAGTGCTTAAATATTATGCTTGGATGAAGAATCATGTTGGCAACAGAATGAGTGACGAGTGGAAACAAACGGATCAAGAATCGAAGTTGAATTGAAGAAGTTATGGAAGTTGAAGTAAAGAGAAGATTCTAGATTACGTTATAGCTTGAGCATACCTCGGTATTTGAGAATATCTTGAGCTGTAGAACTCTGATTAAGACGATTCTTGAACCGTTGAAAAGATAATTCAAAGGGCTATATTTCATATGTTTACCACTTTTCCAAATTCCATCGTAATCAGGTTCACAAATCACCATCTCCGAACAGCGGAATGATGCAGGAAGAAGGTCAGCAGCTATTGTGCCACGTCACATATTTTCCAGTAGCTACTGTGCCACAACACAGTGCTGGGGCACAGTCACGGAACTTAAAGATCACCTATTCGTTTTGAGGTAGAAAAATAGGGTTAAGAGTCCTATCCCTAATAGAATTGAAGGAAATAAAACCCTAACCCTTGTGGGATATCAACGGAGGTATTTTAGCATTATTTTGGGGGATTTTTTGGGTGAGAAGAAAGGGAGAAAAATCTGCAGAGAAGAGAAATAATAGAAGTTCTGGAGCTTTGATTCACTATATAGAGAAGTTTTCCTTATTCTTTTCTTATAAACTCATAATGAATGTTTTAATAAAGATGATTGTTTCTTTCATGTTTATTATGAACTAAATTTATTCTCTAGGGCTAAGATGTAGCCCAATCTCTTAATTATGTATTGATCTTTGATTGTTAATGTTTATTAAGAATTCTTCCTAAATTTTACTATTATTTTTAATTCTTTTGATTCTTAAGGGCCCAAGAATTGAATGAACTAATGGACTAGGTTGAGATCGAGAGATGATACTAGAGATAGGTTACCATGACTTGTGAGGTCTTGGTAAACTCCATAGAGTGTAATGATCTCCAATTGCTTAAATCTAATTAGAGATAATTCAGGTTAGTAATTAGAGGTCAATTTGATAATTGTTCGAGAGAAAGTTATTGGAAATTTAGGGAGTTTGACATGTAGAAAGAACTTAATGAAATTAGCATAAGAGATCAATACATATGAATAAAATAGTGTAAAGTCTATGCCCTAGGTATAGTCATCTTGTTTTTACCCAAAGGTTTATTTTAATTTTTCTCTTTTCGGTTTTCTTTTTAATTTCAATTGTTAATTTTATTTAATTTAGGTTTTCCTTGATACAATTTGAATTGATCAAATAGTAATAAGATAGTTTAATTAGTAATTGATAATAGTAATTCTCTTGGGTTCGATATCTATATTTATACACTTTATTACTTATACGATTTCGTACACTTGCGAAAATCAACAACAGTATGTTATATAAATTATTAAATTGCCCATATTTTTTAATATTATTTTTTAAATAATTTTTTTAGCCACTTACATTTCATATTTAACTAAAACATCGTAGCAACAAAAAAGTTTAAAAGTTAACAAAAACACCCCCACCCACCCTAAGCCATTGCTAGCAACTATAGTGGAGATCTCGCTGTGAAATGGCCGTCGTTTCATGGCTAAATATCTGGCTTTTTCATACCCACATCTTTGGCCATGAAATGGCCATAGATCTGACTGTTTCCGATGCACGGCTGGCTAGATCTGGTTGGTCGTGCGCTTTTCCGTTGCCGCCATTGACCTCCTACGATGGTGGTCGACGGCCAGATCAGGCCACCACCCTTGGGTAATTTATTTAAAGTCCAAGGGTATTTATGTATATGAATATATTTGTAAATTAATTTCAAAATAAGGGTTTTTTCCAAAACATTTACAAATAAGGGGTAAAATTGTAACAAAAATAAGTTACCAAGTAATCTTAAAATATCTAAGAAAATGGAGGTAATTAGATTATTTCCTATATTACCAACATTAATTACTATTAATTCTGGAAGATTACTGGAATTTTATATTACTTGACAACCAAGCATGGTAGTTAAGAAATATAAGATAACATTATCTCAGTAATCCCCTATTACCCCCAACAAAACACACCCTAAGTGCATGAGTAAACGACTTTTTCCCACCCAAGGTTTGCCTTAATGACACTTTCTCACCCAAAAAGTTTCAAAATACCACTTTTCCACCCAAATTTTATATTCTGTAACACACAAAATACACTTTACTTTTTTATTGGGTGTTCGACAAGTTACTAGGAGCCAAGATAAGAGGGGTTTTGTAGAGTGGAGGTCAGTGGATCGAATGATGGTGACCGATTAAATATTCGTCATTGGAAATCAACTAAGAGCAAGAAATCTTAGTTTTGCGATAGCCGAGAATCAACAAGAAATCAGGTACAGGAGTGAGAGGGGTTTTGGAGAGAAGAGATCGAAAATTCAAATGGTAATGACGGAGAGAATTTTCATCATCAGAATTGGCTTTGGGTATTAATGAAATATAAACTTTGTGTGGGAAAGTGGTTTTTTGAAATTTTTTGGGTGGGAAAGTGTCATTAAGGCAAACCTTGGGTGGGAAAAAGTTGTTTATTGGTATATAAAATATTGAAAATGTTAACAAAATTATGATTTATAATTTAAACAAGAGTAGACGGCTTATTTCCACCCAAATAATGACGTAATGACGATTTCTCACCTACAGGCTTTTAAAATACTATTTTACTATCTAAATTTATATTTCGTTTTCGATTCCGGCATCATTGCGACTCCACACCACCACCATTATCTTTTTCGATCATCACTCACCAAAACCCCTTAAATCTTACTTACGTCGACCTCGCCAATTGTCGGCAATCGAGGGATTAGGGTTTGCACAACCGCTCCTCCCAATTCAAATTTTGATCAATCACAACCATCAAAATTTAAACTTTTGACCACCAAAAGACTTTTCAACCTCCCCTCTTCAAAGCCCAAGAGCCTGTATCGAGTTTACTTTCTGTTCGTCATGGGAATATAAATTTGGATAATAAAGTGATATTTAAAAAGTCTATAAGTAGGAAAGTGTCATTAAACCATTATTTGGGTATGATAAAATAGTTAACTATTCATACAATCGCAATTCTTCCCTATTTGCATAATTGCTACGCACACTACTACAAATTTAGCCTTTTCCAGGAAACAAATTGCTATCGGAAAAACTTAAAATGCTGTATGAAATCATCATTTACAAGGGCAAAAATTTGTTGCTTGTCGTTGGATATACCAAATTACCCTGCATAAAAGTTAATAAATTAATTAAAATTAGTGCATTTGAACAGCAAAGCAATTAAAAATTATGATAATTTGAGAATTATTAAAAAAATTACTAAAGCAATTACTTAAATGGTAACTATTTTCTTCTCCTTAGTGGTCTAACATGCTAAATTTTTTTCTAGATTCTGAAGGAAGTTACATTTATAATTATACTTGTAATTAAAAACTTGATGATAAAAATAATTTAAAAAAGATAATCATATACACTCACTGGTTTGCACAATTAAATACCCTAGGTCTGCTCAACAACTAAATCTTTTCTTACAAATAAATAAATAAATAAATAAATAATAATAATACTGCAATTAAAATTCTAATCATAGGCTAAACATGTAAGGAAAATAAGTACTATCCCTAGCTATTGAAAATGTCCTTAAAATTATAAGGGATTTTTGATAATTATAAAAAGTTCTTATCTTAATTAAGTTATATTCGACATAATTCTTTTTCATCCCTTTAGTTTCAGTTTATTCCTTTAAGGACAATCATTTGAAGTATTTATCGGTCCTTGTTGTTTCAAAATAATGCCCTTTTAGTCCTTTGACTTAATAAATGTTTAGCTAATTACCTTTTAAATTTATATTGAAATTATTATCCATCTTTTACAAGTTATTAAGATTTTATTAAACATTGATATAAAAAATATATTTTAAAAGTGAGAACTTTATAATACTTTTTATTCAACAAGAAAAAAAAAATGTACGTTTTTGTTCTAACAAGAATACTTTTTATTTAACATATTTTTTTAATTTTTTTTCCATTGCTTTTTTTTTTTTGACAAGAATGCATTATTTTTTTTTAAAATATATTTTTATACTTCTGTTTAATAGTATTTTAATAACTTCAAAAGATGAGTGTTTTTGTCTTTTTAATACAAATTTAAAGATAATTAACCGTCAACTATCCTTTATTAAGTCAAAGGACTAAAAAAATAATATTTAAAATGATTGTCCTTAAAAAATGATATTAAAACTACGGGGATGAAAATGAATTATTTCTTTACATTACAACTTTCTGGACTACTAAAGAAAAATCTAACAGCCTTTCCAGAACTCTCTTTTTCCATCCCGATTCCTCCAATCAACTTCTTCTTCTACACTTCTCCCGAAATTTCTTCCTTACCTTCAAACTTTCTCCCGCCCTTATAAATATTCACATCCCATAACGCCTCAACCCACCAGCATCAATCAAATTTGTTCTCGCACAGCGAACCAAATTCTTTAGCGCTTTTTCCAACTTCTCTTTCTAATAATTCAAAACACTCCTTGTTTCTGTTCTGGGTAGATTGCGACTAATTATTTTGCTTTATGGCATCAAAGATTGAAGGCAAAGCTATTGGCATTGATCTCGGCACGACTTACAGCTGCGTCGGAATATGGCAGAACGACCGTGTTGAGATTATTGCCAATGATCAGGGCAACAGAACTACTCCTTCTTACGTGGCCTTCACTGACACTGAACGTTTGATCGGAGATGCAGCGAAAAACCAGGCTGCAATGAACCCTCAGAACACTGTTTTTGATGCTAAACGTTTGATTGGCAGACGGTTCTCTGACCCGAATGTTCAGAGCGATATGAGGCATTGGCCTTTTAAGGTTGTGGCGGGTCCGGGAGATAAGCCTATGATTGTGGTTTCGTATAAAGGAGAGGAGAAACAGTTCGCCGCCGAAGAGATTTCTTCAATGGTGTTGACGAAGATGAGGGAGATTGCTGAGGCTTATCTGGGTCAGAACGTGAAGAACGCTGTGATTACTGTTCCGGCTTATTTTAATGACTCGCAAAGACAAGCTACAAAGGATGCCGGAGCTATAGCAGGGCTGAATGTTATGAGAATTATCAATGAGCCGACTGCTGCTGCCATTGCTTATGGTTTGGACAAGAAGGCGTCAAGGTCGGGTGAGAAGAATGTGCTTATTTTTGATCTTGGTGGAGGGACTTTTGATGTTTCGTTGTTGACAATTGAGGAGGGGATCTTTGAAGTGAAGGCGACTGCTGGAGATACTCATCTCGGAGGTGAAGATTTTGATAACAGGCTTGTCAATCATTTTGTTGCGGAGTTTAAGAGGAAGCACAAAAAAGATATCAGTGGCAATGCCAGAGCATTGAGGCGTTTGAGGACGGCGTGTGAGAGGGCGAAGAGGACTTTATCTTCCACCACGCAGACGACGATAGAGATTGATTCGCTCTATGAAGGTATTGATTTCTATTCTACTATTACTAGAGCAAGATTTGAAGAATTGAACATGGATTTGTTCAGAAAGTGTATGGAGCCTGTGGAGAAATGTCTTCGGGACTCCAAGATTGACAAGAGTCAGGTTCATGATATTGTTCTTGTTGGTGGGTCAACAAGAATTCCCAAAGTTCAGCAACTATTGCAAGATTTCTTCAATGGCAAGGAACTCTGCAAGAGCATAAACCCGGATGAGGCGGTCGCGTATGGAGCTGCTGTTCAGGCTGCTATTTTGAGCGGTGAAGGGAATGATAAGGTTCAAGATTTGCTACTTCTTGATGTCACACCTCTCAGCCTTGGAATTGAAACTGCTGGTGGTGTAATGACAGTTTTGATTCCGAGAAACACGACGATTCCCACCAAGAAGGAGCAAATCTTTTCAACTTATTCTGATAATCAGCCTGGAGTTTTAATTCAAGTTTATGAAGGTGAAAGGGCTAGAACAAAAGACAACAATCTGCTTGGAAAATTCGAGCTCACGGGGATTCCGCCAGCTCCCAGAGGTGTTCCACAGATCAATGTGTGCTTTGACATTGATGCAAATGGGATATTGAATGTGTCAGCTGAAGATAAAACTGCAGGAGTGAAGAACAAGATTACAATTACAAATGATAAGGGAAGATTGAGCAAGGAGGAGATTGAAAGAATGGTTCAAGAGGCGGAGAAGTACAAAGCGGAGGATGAGGAAGTCAAGAAGAAAGTTGATGCGAAGAACGCTCTGGAGAATTACGCTTATAACATGAGGAACACTGTAAAAGATGAGAAGTTTGCCGGAAAACTTGATCCTGCAGACAAGAGGAAGATCGAGAAGGCGATCGATGAGGCCATTGAATGGCTTGACAGGAACCAATTGGCTGAAGTTGAAGAACTTGAAGACAAGTTGAAAGAATTGGAGGGCTTGTGCAACCCAATAATTGCCAAAATGTATCAAGGAGCTGGCGGGGATGTTCCTATGGGCGGTGGTGCAGAGATGCCGAACGGATATGGCAAGGCCAGTTCTGGTGGTGCCGGTGCTGGGCCTAAGATTGAGGAAGTCGATTGAAGCACCAAAGGGGTGTCATATAGAGATGTTCTGTTTTGGGGCTCTGTTTTTTCTACTCTGTTTTTGGTTGTGCTTGAGTGGGTTATTATGTAATGCATGGTAATATAGAATAGGATTTGAGAGATTTCTAAATCAGAGTTAAAAATTTACAAATGTAAGTAATAGTTGTTTCAAATTTACAATAGAATAAACTTTTTACTTGTTTTCCAATCTTGATTGCTGTCGTTTTTGAATCTCTTCTAAGATGGGTAATTATGTGTACTGGAAGGCACTTGCAGTCAAAAGGTTTTAACAATGTTATGTGACAGCAAGTGCACTAGATCAGCTTTTGGTGATGTTAAAGTTTAAATGCACTTGAGTGTGCAATAATTTTCAGCATATTGATCAACCATTTGATCTGGTATGCTGATAAATGACTTTCACTGAAAACTTGGAGAAAATTAATGCCATGTTCTGATGTAAATAATATTCCGAGACAATATATGCTGCTTCTTGTGATACTTCAGAATAACATCAACAGATCCTATGTTGATACTAAAACAAACTTTACGAAATTTTTATATAGGAGTAATGTAGCCAACCTATGCCTCTTAATGAAAGTCTAGAAATAGGGAAAGCTGTTAGTCATCTTCTGGAGTGGAAGGAGAAATTCCAGAAGAGGAAGAGGAGGAAAATGTGTCACCACCACTTAGGTATCTCTTGAGGCAATCCAACTTGTTGGCAACATTTAGCATAGTAGGCCTAGTAGAGGGGGAATCCTGTGTGCATAGGATACCTAACTCCATCAATTGTCCTATTTCAAAATGCCACCACCTTCTATCTTGAGGAGATTAGTCTGTTGAAGCTCTTACTATCGAAGGGTTGATAACTTTCTCCGCCCTTTCATATTAGTGACTCTTCACCCATTTGTGCAGGGTTAGCTCACCATCAAACATGTCATCTGTTGGTCTTTTTCTAGTCGGCATCTCCAGGAGTAGAACTCCAAAGCTATAAACATCTTTTGTCGAGGTGTTAGATCCGATTCCATGTTCTGAATAGACAAAAATACGAACAGTGAGGAATGACTCAATTTTCCCTTCGTTTTGAAACCTAAAAGTGTTTATGAGGAATGCCTTAATTTACAAATGCTTTTAGCAAAATAGTAGGAGCATAGCAAATGTCTATACCTGGTGCTACATATCCAATAGAACCACATAACATATTAGCAGTAGAGATTCCGAGGTTATCAACATCCCCTGTATTGTCCGCTCCAACTGGCATAACCAACCTTGCAATCCCAAAATCAGAAACCACAGCTGTCATTTCATCGTTGAGAAGAACATTGCTTGGCTTTAAATCGCAGTGTATGACTCTAACAGGAGAATAATGATGCAGATAGGCCATACCTTCAGCTATGTCGCTACAAATATTCACCATCTCAACGAGAGTCAAATCTGAGGAGTTTGAACCCAAAACTGTCCCAGGAAGTGGATAAAGACGGCTATCCAGGCTCCCATTTGCCATATAAGGAAGAACAAGTGCCTTAAAATCAGGTTGACTACATGCAGTTATAATCCTTATCAGATTCCTATGCCGAGTCCTTTTCAAAACATGACATTCTCTATCAAAACTCTTTACAGAGTTTCCAGATTGCAAATGGAACACCTTGACTGCTATTGCTGTTCCATCTGAAAGAATTCCCTTATATACACGTCCATAGCTACGTGTGCCAATTATTGTCTGCTCATCAAACCCTGCAGTGGCCTGTGACAATTGTCTGTATGTAATTCTTGGAAAATTTTGCTTTAATTCTAGTGTTGTATGCTTCCTTATCGTTTCAGATTTTGCCAAGGTAGTTATAACTTTGATACCGTGGAGCTAAGAACATAAAATGTTGCTGATAACAATGCTGATATGCAAATGACTGGGATGAATATGATCAGGAATATACATGAATGAAGTCCATGTCATTTTGGAGAGCAAATGGGCACGTTGAGAACTGCCCCACAGAGACCTTCATTCCCTAAGAACGACATATTTGTTACTGAATCAAAAATGCCTCCAGAGGGAATCATACCTTCAAACTGGTTGAAAGAAAGATTGATGAAGGTAAGGGTATACATTTTGCTGAGGCTTGTTGGGATCATACCGGATAAGTAGTTTTCTGAAACATCGAGTGATACCAGGTTCTTCAGATCACCCAGAGAATCTGGAAGGTTTCCCTCAAGAGCATTGTGAGATAGATTTAACAACGTCAATGCAATGCAGCTTGACATCCGAAGAAAATGTTTCTTTGTAAAAATTGAGATAACTTTTCATTCATCACTATTTCATTGAAAAAGGTAGAAATACAGCAGCCCCAAAAACACTCTCCCACGCCACTTGACTGTTTGATTGAAAATCAAACATATTGTTTTTCTTCTTGATTTCTTAAGACTCAGGAAGAAAGAAGGGCGTTTTCGTCTTTTTGGGCGAAAGGGTATTTTGGTAATTTCACAGCAATTAAATTTGCTGAGGTTGTAGCCTTTATTTAATTTGTTAGAAAAAATTAAATAAGTGAAATTCCGTTTAAATATATTTTCGCATATATTTAAATAAATTATCATTAATGTTAAATGTTAATATATATATATATATATATATATTAATTGATTTTAATTGAAATAATGATGAATTAAATTAAAAAAAAATATCTAATTGGGAGTGTTTGGCAACATGGGCTGTTTGGGTTGGAGCCCAAGCCCATTCCATGTGGGAATAGGGCAACTTGGTTTGCCTATAAAAAGAATAGTGTTTGTGTGTTTTGAAATTAATTCATTTTGCCCTTTTGAAAAACAAAAGAAAACACAACACCCCATACACTCTCCCACGCCCCTTTCACTGTTCCATTGAAAAACAAACACTTTTGTTTTTCTTCTTGATTTCTTAAGGCCAAGGAGGATCTAGCAAATCCCTCCTTGGTTCTTGTTGATTGTCTTCGTGTGGACCTCTACGGTTCGATCCTATACTTGGATCGGTAGCAAACACGTTCAGAGATAATATTGGTGGAGCCTCCAACATGGATATGAATCTAAACCTTTGGATTTATTTTTCTGCAGATTCTTATAAAATATAAACTATAATTTTCTATGCCCTGATTTTTGGGTTCTAAGGAACGATCCATGGTTGTAATATACCCGAAATTTCTGGGGAAAGTCTCCCAGTCAACCTGTTGTAGGATAAGTCTAGCTTGTATAGATCTATGCACTGTCCTAAAGTTCGCGGTATTGATCCTGAAAGCAAATTGTTGTTGAGAAGCAGATAATTCAACCGAACTAAATTTCCGAGACTTTTTGGGATAGGACCACTGAAATTATTGTATGATGGATCAAGCAAACCCAGATGAGGAAGTTGACCTATTGCTGTTGGAATTTCAATGGAGAATAGGTTGTGTGATAAGAGAAGCTGCTCCAATTTCGACAACCAACTAATCTCTACTGGAATATTTCCATTGAGAAGATTAGAAGACAAATTTAATGACATTAGATTAGTAAGATTCGCTATACTCGGAGGAATTGATCCAGTGATTCTGTTTTCTTGCAGTAACATTGTTGCTATATTAAGTTGGCTGATTGAACTGGGCAATCTTCCTCCGAGGCCCATGCTAACCAATTGAAGCTCAGCTAAGCTTGTGCAATTTTCCAGGGCGGTGAAGAAGGCGTCGAGATTGCTGTTGTTGTCATGACTTATCATGTTGTTATATGATAATTGGAGATATTCAAGTGAAGGCAGCTTCCCCAAGATATCTGAAGGCAACTCACCAGAAAGATTATTTGTCTCCACATCCAAATTATACATTGAAGAATTTACCAAAGATGGGAGAAGCTGTCCTACAAACTGATTATTGTATAAATTGAGGGACCATGGATGTGGGCTATTTCCTATTTCTTGTGGAATTTTTCCCGTGAAAAAGTTGTCGGACAGGTCTACAGTTCTTAGTGAAGTGCAGTTGTGGAAGAAGGAAGGTGGAAGTGCTTCTGTTAAATTGTTAGATGAAAGAGTTACCATCCGGAGTTTAGAAGGAAGAGCAAAGGACTCTGGTATTGGACCCTGTAAGTTGTTCTTATTGTCAAGAAGAAATTCAGACTTTTGACTATGCAGTTCAAGATGACGTTCAAGATGTGGGAGACCATGAGTAGATAATTGATTCACAAATGACATATTCGATTCTGATAGACGATGGTTAGACACATAATTACTAGATAGCTCTGGTTCGTATGTTGCTTTGGGAATCCCTCTAGTACTACGTGGTGGTAACTCTTTCCTAATTGGTTTAGACTCTAAATCAGGAATATTCTCAACAAATGATGGTTGTGACATACCAGGAATAAGAGACTCGGACTGAAAAGCTTCTACAGTCGGGTTTGATACCACCTCCACATTACCATTATCCACTTCATCTTCTTGTCGAACAATAGGTCTAGTTTGTGACTCATGGTCTCCCACATCTTGAACGTCATCTTGAACTGCATAGTCAAGAGTCTGAATTTCTTCTTGACAATACTCCCCCAGAAGTTCAGACTCAGAAGGAAAATACATCAACTCTTCATGGAAAACAACATCCATCGTTTGTTGAGTTGGAGGATGATAACATCGATACCCCTTTTGATGAACACCATACCCAACAAAAACACATTTCAATGCACGAGGGGACAACTTGTTGCGTTGATGTTTATGGAGGTGAACAAATGCAATACAGCCAAAAACATAAGGCGGTAAGTTCGGGACCATTGGAGTATTCACTGCTTTACCAAGAGCCTGAAAAGGTGTCTCAAACCGAAGAGAACTAGAGGGTACCCGATTGATTAGGTAGGCTGCAGAAGTAAGTGCTTCTTCCCAAAAAGATAACGACATGTGAGCCTTTATTAATGAGGCACGAACAACCTCCAATAAGTGTCGATTTTTTCGCTCAGCAACACCATTTTGTTGGGATGTGTTGGGACAAGTAGTCTGATGAATGATACCATGTGTTGCTAAGTACTGTTGAAGATCTGAACTTTGATATTCTCCTCCATTGTCACTTCGAA